CACTTTAGCTTTCGACTGCGTATCACTAGTCTGATTTGAGAACTTTTTTTTGTAAAGAGTACTAAAACAAGTTAAAAAGTATGAAAAAAGTAAAAAAAAGCCTATGCCCGCTTATTATATATCATTTGAACGTGCTTAATCGAAATAACGGTTTGAGTGCCTAGATCTCTTTGGACCAAATCCATTTTAGGTTATTTGGAGTCGATCTAGCAATGTCCGTTTGTCTACCTGGCTGGCTGGCTGTTGCGCACGATAACTCTCGAAGGGAGTATTCGATTTGATACAAACTTGGTACATCATAATATTATTGTCAAACTTAAATCGAATACGGAGATGGGCAATATCGGTCCACTTCTTGTGGTACCGCCAACACAAAATGTCAAAATTTTTCAAAGCAAATATTTTACCTCGAAGAAAAATAATCATTCGATTTCGAGCAAACTTTGCGAATATTTCTATTATCTATGTTAGGTCAGGTGCGAAAAAGGACAATATCGGTCCACTCCATCAAGTACCTCCACCACATAGGGTAAAAATTTGGAATAATCATAACTCTTATAAAATGTGAAATAAGAGCACGATTGTCTTAAATTTTCCAACATCCCAATATTTTTATTCACACAAGATCTGGTGTGAACATGGGACATTTCGGTCCACTCCTTCTGATACCACCACCACAAGAGGGTAAAAATTTTGAATATTCATGTAGTTCATTAAACGCGAAATTAACATCCGATTCCATTCAAACTACGTAGATCTCAATATTTTTCTCAACACTAGACCTGTTATGAAGATCGCAAAGATCGGGCCATTCCTTCTGGTTGCTACCCCACAAAGGGTTAAAATTTAGAATATCCAAAACGATCATAAAATCCGATATAAGCATACGATTCTCTTCATATTTCACATATCCCATTATTTCTACCTACACAAAATCTGCTGGGAAGATGGGAAATATCGGTTCACTCCTTCTGGCACCTCCCCCACAAAGGGTCAAAATTTTGAATATCCACGATCCTCATAAAACGCTTACTAATATCCGATTCCATCCATCAATAGAAGACCTGTTATCTTATTATATATCGGACCATTCCTTCTGGTATTTAGATTCGATACGAAATGGAAAATATTGACCGATTCCTACTCCATAGAGGGTCAACAATTTGAATAATCATAACAGAAGTCAAAATATATTAAAATAATCGAACGGCAAAACCGACTGATACTTTTTAACATGATATAACTCCCAAACCGTCCCAAGAACCCCACCACTATAACCTCTTGTTCGATAGTTATTTTCATTAGCATTTAAATTATATTCATATCGACTTTTGTAGAACCCGGTCTAACCCGGTTCTTGGAGCCGGACTTTGGCGTCAAATATCCGGATCAATCCCCCCAAAGAATAAAAAATATGTCTCAGAATCAGAATCTCAGAAAACCTAACTCTGAAAAAAATTAAAAAAAAAATCTGAAAATTTTTACTAAACTAGAGTAAAGCCTCAATTTGTACCTCTTTGAATTGATTTTTATTTAGTGCAGTTGTAGTTCTCAAAAGGCGCCGCCATACTGCGGTCTCATTCCGAATTCCTTTACGAATATTTAGTACCCCTTACCTCGAATTGTATCAAGTCAAGGCCCATGGGATGTGTGACCTGTGTAATGCTCCCATCCCCCATTGGCATAACTCTTGAATAGTAAAAACTCTCCGATTTTTTACAATTTTTTCCAGAGGTAGTCATTTGTACTTTGATTCCGAGAAAATATATTTTTCTTGAGGGGCGGACATGTATTGCCGGATATTTGACCCAAAAGTCTGATTAACAAAATACCTATATGGAATGTGGTTACATGATGGGCTAAAATTAAAAATTATCGTTTTTTTGGACCGGCATTTTTTGGAGATTCAAAAAATTGAGCCTTTTTCGATTTTTAAGAAATGTCGGTCTTCAATGACCCCATCTTTTTGGATAAGTATTTTCATTCGCTTACAAATGATATCTATATTGTCAAAAAACTACAGTTAAACCTCAAATGGTGCCTTCGGTCTCATTCCGAATTCTTCACCAAATACCAAGGCACAATATTTAGTACTCCTTTACCTCGAATTGAATCAAGTACAAACTCATGAGATGTGTGGCCTGTAAAATACCTCCACCATTTAAAAATTATTCCATTTGCTCCTCTATCGATTTAAAGTTAGAAAATTCTACATTAAACTTGAACGGCTGGCTGACTGGCTGTTTACTGCTACTGGGATGCAGCGGAATGGGCCGGCCATTAATCCATAGGGCAAACTTTTCTTTCCAAAGGTTTTCTTTATTTTTCGCATTTTTTTTTCCTTTCATCCTCCATTCATTCACTCATTCACTTTGCCATTCACTTTATGGCTGATTGTCGATAGGTTTTCGATGATGATTGCTTTTGGTTTTTGTTGTTACTCTTGCTGTCGCTGCTGCTGTTGCTGTTGTGGAGTTGTTGTTATTTTTTATTATTGCTCCGCTGCTGATATCGGCGATGCGGTGATGTTATTGCGGTTGGTTATTTCTGATCCGTAACATAAACAATGCAACCAAACTGACAGATCGTCAGACAAACAAACAAACCAATAGAGAGAGAGAGAGAGAGAGAGAGAGACCAACAGAAAGTCGAAGGAACAAACCAATAACAACGGGCAATAAATTCTTGTCTTTCAATGTATAAACATCAGCCATCCAAAAGGGGGGAGAACTTTTTCCCTTGAGAAAATTTCAAAAAAATGTTTTTTAAAAATTTAATTTTAGTTGCTTATAAACGAAATTTTGTTTATAATAAACAAAAATATATTCCGCCATTCAAATGGGGCCTCAAAACCTTTGATTATCAATTTTTATACCACCTACCCCACAAGGTGGTCAGGGTATTATGTCTTTGTGCAATTGTTTGTTTGTAACAGGCAAAAGGAAACGAGATTGACTCCTAGTTCCTTTTGATGATCTGCATAGAATCGCATTCTGAGTCGATTTATGCATGTCCGTCCGTCCGTCCATCCGTCTGTCCATGTATTTTTGTGAACAAAGTACAGTTTGCATTTATTACCCGATCCAGATGAAATTTTGCACAAATCATTTGTTTGGCCCAAGGACGAACCCTATTGAAATTGGAGAGAATCGGTAAAAATTTCGATATAGCTTCCATATATATCTTCGTCCGATTTGCCTTTTATTGTACACCAAACGTGTAATATCCGCCCGAATAATATGGAATTTTGCAGATACAACTAAATTAGGCCTGACAATAAGTATGCCAAATTTGATCGAAATCGGTTCAGATATAGCTATAGCTCCCATACATATTGTTCATCCGATTTGTTATTTTTGTCCTCCGCAGCCGTAATATACACTGTAATAACTATATTTGGGGAAATATATCAAATACAGCTCAGAAATATCTTTGCCAAATTTTATCAAGATCGGTTCGGATTTGAATATATCTCTCCCATATATAACTTCGTCCGATTTACCTTTTATTGTGCACCAAACGTCTAATATTTGTCCAAATGGGATGAAATTTGGCACTTATGACCGAATTGAGTCTAGAAGCTAGTATGTCAAATTTGGTGAAGATCGGTTCAGATATAGCTATAGCTCCCATATATATTGTTCATCCGATTTGATATATTTGTTAGCCGCAGCCGTAATATGCATTCCGTAACAACGTTATTCAGGGATATTTATTAAATACAGCTCAGAAATATCTTTACCAAATTTTATCGAGATCGGTTCGGATTTGAATATATATCTCCCACATATAACTTCGTCCGATCTACCTTTTATTGTGCACCAAACGTCTAATATCTGCCCAAATGGGATGAAATTTGGCACTTACGACCGAATTGAGTCTAGAAGCTAGTATGCCAAATTTGGTGAAGATCGGTTCAGATATAGCTATGGCTCCCATATATATTGTTCATCCGATTTGTTATATTTATTACCCACAGCCATAATCTGCACTCCGTAACAACAATATTTGGCGAAATATATCAAATACAGCTCAGAAATACCTTTGCTAAATTTTATCGAGATCAGTTCGGATTTGAATATATATCTCCCATATATAACTTCGTCCGATTTACCTTTTATTGTGCACCAAACGTCTAATATTTGTCCAAATGGGATGAAATTTGACACTTGCGACCGAATTAGAAGCTAGTATGTCAAATTTTGTGAAGATCGGTTCAGATATAACTATAGCTCCCATATATATTGTTCATCCGATTTGTTATGTTTCTTACCCACAGCCGTAATATGCACTCCGTTACAACGATATTCAGGGATATTTATGAAATACAGCTAAGAAATATCTTTGCCAAATGTTATCAAGATCGGTTCAGATTTGGATATAGCTCCCATATATAACTTCGTCCGATTTACCTTTTATTGTGCACCAAACGTCTAATATTTGCCCAAAATGGGATGGAATTTGGCAATTACGACCAAATTGAGTCTAGAAGCTAGTATGTCAAATTTGGTGAAGATCGGTTCAGATATAGCTATAGCTTCCATATATATTGTTCATCCGATTTGTTATATTTGTTACCCACAGCCGTAATATGCACTCCGTAACAACGATATTCTGGGATATTTATGAAATTCAGCTCGGAAATATTTTGTCAAATTTTATCGAGATCGGTTCAGATTTGGATATAGCTCCCATATATATCTTTATGTGCCTTCAGATTAATTGTGCACCAAATGGGCAATACAAGTCCGAATTTAAAAGACCATGGTTTCACCATGCATTTGTAGTTGTGCATGTGCAAGGGGGTGGGTGTGAGTGTGCACATTCGTGTGTGTGTGTATGTATTCCAAAAATCCACCCCTTTTTCAAATCCCAATCTAAGAACAATCAAATGATGAACCACCCGAAACAAAAACGAACAGCAAAAAGGCAATTTCACCCACTTCCGCAAAAACAAATTCACTTTCATCCATCGAATATCGAGCATCCTGGGACATTACCTAGAAATGTTGTATGTCACGCTTCTCCTGCTGCTTCTTCTATCTGATTAGAATCTTCTTCTCGACGATGTGATTTTTATTCCATATGTGTCGTCGTATTCGAATCGCCAATACCACTTTTCTTAAAATTTAATTCAAATTTATTTTATTTTTTTTTTCTCACTTCACTTCACTTTTGACCACCACTCTATTTTTTTCCTCCACAATATATATTCTATTCACCAAAGAAGCGAACAACAATAACAACGTTATTCATCAGATTCTGACAGAAAACGCGCCGCGCATTCACCTCGTCTTTGCTATCACACGCGCCGTTGAAGAAAAATCGTTGCAAACACCTCAACAATTCCGTTTGAACTGAAGCCAGCAGGGCCAACTGAATGGCTGGGATGGTCGTTCGTTCGGTTGATTTGCTGGCTTGCACAACTCTCAAATGCTTGTCTACGACGGCTACACTACTCACCACTCACTACTGCCAACTCTCAAACCGAAGGCAAACTCTCGCACACGACCGACTGACACAACACAACACGACAACGATTCAAAAACAAAGCAACAGCAATTCAAAGACAAATGGGTAAATAAAAGTTCAACCCCCCCTTCCACCCAAAGACCGGGAATGAAAAGAAAAACACAACTACAGTCTGGGGAAAGTAAATTAGGGAGGGAAATGAAATCGGTGAGGTGGGGTTGATGTGTGAGGTTTAAAGAAGCCCTGATACTAATTCCACATAATTTGTGGTATCAACTTTTATTCCAAATATTGACCTTTTAACAGGGAAAGGTGGACAAAAGAATTTTCTAATATTGTCGATTTTCATACCCTTCACATTCATCCTTGTATGGAGGGTATATTAAGTTCGTCATTCCGTTTGTAGCACATCGAAACAATAATTTTTAGACCCAAAAAAATATATATTCTTGATTAGCGTAAAATTCTGAAACATTTTAGCCCCGTCCTTCCGTCCGTCTGACCATAAGTTGCAATCACGCTAGAGTCAAAACAAATTAAGATAGGAAGCTAAAATTTTGCACATGTCAGTCTTTTGTATGCAGGCAGGTCAAGTACAAAGATGGGCTACATCGGTCTACGATATCGCATTGTCTCCGCATAACAGAACTCTCCGATATTCGGTATTTTGATGAGTTCAGAAACATTTTTTAATGGAATCGTTTGAAATTCAACCGAAGGAGTTTTGTGTGAGTACTTTTCCCCCTGGATGAGAATTGTCTGTATAGGTCGCATAGCCCACATACAACTGTACCCCACGGTATTCCAGCCATAGCCATATGACTGGAGAAGGTATACAGGGTGAGATAAAAAACTGTATTCAAGTCGAACGCCATAATTTTTACATATTATTTTAAATTTTATTGAATGAAAGAAAAACAAGTTAAAAAGTTGTAAGATCGGCCAGGCCGAACTTTGAATTTGGAACGAATTTGGAAATAAAATCCTTAAAAAAATCTGTTAAAATTTTAAAAATACCAAATATAGCCGTTATATTGGTGTCTATACGACGTGGACCCACACAGGCATTATTTGTCGTAAGTCATTACCAAATTCAAAATTCGGAACTTGAAATAAACGGTTAATAAAATAATAAATCAAAATATCGTATATAGGGAGGTAGCGTTATATCGGAGCTGGTCCAGCATAGACAATTTTCTGCAATAGGCTGTAGCATCCATTACGAACTTCAAATACGCGTCTTAAACAATTTCGATGGGTATTGTACCTAAACTCATCAAAATACCGAATATCGGGAGGTACCGTTATATGGGGGCTTTACGAAGACGTGGACCTCCACAGACAATTTTATGTCTAAGGCTGTAGTATTCATTACGAACTTCAAATACTAACTTTGAAACAATTCCGGTGAATAATGTCGCTAAAATCATTTAAATACCGAATATCGGAAGGTGCCGTTATATGGGTGCTATACCAAAACGTGGACCTAACAAAAGTCGTGGACCTACCAAAGGACATAATATACATTTGAGTAAAATTTTATCAATCTACTTCAATTTGTCCGGAAGCTAGAGTGATTTCAACAGACGGATAGACGGACGGACATCGCTAAATCGACATAGAATTTTATGCTGATCTAGAATATATATACTTTATGGGGTCTAAAATGTGTATTTCGAGGAGTTACAAACGGAATGACAAATTTAATATATCCTCCATACCATGGTGGAGGGTATAAAAAACTGCAACAAAGTCGAACGCCATAATTTTTACATTTTTTTTTTAAATTTTATTGAATGAAAGCAAAAAATGTCGGAAATATCATCAAATTTTAAAATAAGTTTAGATTAGTTCGAATTGGTCACCTTTGGCACGAATTATGACCTTATGACCGGCCAATGAAACCGTCACACGCTGTCCGAATGTTGCTCTGCGGTATTTTGACCCATTGGCCCCGGCGAAGTGCTTGCTTGAGGTGATCGACACTTTGGTATGGTTTAGTGCCAACCTTGCTTCCGAAAATACTCCAGACAAAATAGTCTAACGGATTGGTATCCGGTGATTTTGGTGGCCATTGTGCGCTGGGAATGAAGCGAGGAACCTCATTTTTAATTATTCTTGGGTGGCGCGTGCTGAGTACTGTCGGAATGTTCAAGGGTCTGCGGCCAAAATGTTTGGGTGCCCAATGCTTTAATACACCCTCCAGAATATTTTCGCAATAACATTCGGCATTTATTCTGATGCCACGGTCGATTAATACGAGCGGAGAGCGACCATTGGTTGTTATGGCGGCCCACATCATCACCATGGCCGGCGCTTGGCCAAACGAAGGTGCACATTTTCAGCTGACCTCTTTGGCAAGTAAACACGATAATTTTGTTTGTTTACAAACTGCTGGACAACGAATGTTTTCTCATCGGGGTCGGAGAAAACCAAATTCGGCAGTTCACCACTTTCGGCCAAGCTAAGCAACAGTTTAGCTCTTTTCAGTCTATTTTCTTTCTGTTGCGGCGGTGTAAGTTCTTGCACTTTTTGGAATTTCAATGGCTTTACCCCGAGCTCATATTTTAATATTTGCCGAATGGAATGTTCAACTCACGAGCTATTTTTCGGCCACTGCGACGCGGGTTTCTATCAAGTCGCTTCTTTACTTTTCAAACCATTTCTCCTGATGTTGCTTTTTTTCCGCCCACTTTCTTGACGTCGGGCTACGCTACCAGTATCACGGTAACGAGCAATGGTACGAGACACAAAAGATTTATTCACATTTAAATGCTGGAGTACTCTAACGATGGCCACATGTGGTTTTACAGCCAAATGTAAAGAAATTACACTCGAATTCACGCTTGAATTCCATCACGAATAACTTTTTTTCTGGAAATTTCCCACCAAAATGCTTTTGTACGCTTGAAAACAAGATAATGAGCTGTCACTGGAATAATTTTAACAGCTGTCGGACGAGTTGCTTATAAATTACAGCAGTCTGAACTTCGTTGCAGTTGTTTCATCTCACCCTGTGTATATAAGGGTGTCCGTTCATGCGTCTGTTTGGCTGCGAACGATTTTTCTCGAAGGGAGTATCCGATCTGGTTCAAACTTGGTACATCGTTATATTATTGACAAACTTAGATTGAGTTCAAAGATGGGCAATATTGGTCCACACCTTCTGGTACCCCCTCCACTCACAAAATGTCAGAATTTTCAAAAATATATATGTTTATTTTTTGACTGCACAGATAGAGAGGATAAGCTGATTTTGCTCCAACTTTGCATATCCTAATATTTGCATCAGTGCTAGGTCAGGTACGAAAATGGACAATATCGGTCCACTCCACACAAAGGGTAAATTTTTTGAATAATTTTAACTCTTATAAAATGTGATGTAAGAGTCCGATTTTCTCCAAATTTCATACATCCCAATATTTATGTTAACCTAAGGTCTGGTGTTAAGATGAAATATATCGCTTCATTCCTTCTGGTACCTGCCCCACAAAGGGTTAATATTTTGAACATTCATGGAGCTCATAAAACACGAAGATAACATCCGATTCCATTCAGACTTGGTACATCTCAATATTTTCATCAAAACAAGATCTGCTGTACATATGGTAGAGATTGGTCCATTCCTTGTGGCATCTCCCCCCACAAAAGGGTTAAAATTTCGAATAACCAAAACTATTATTAAATTCGAAATAAGCATTCGCCTCTCTTCAATCCCATTATTTCTACACATCCCATTATTTCTAATAACACAAGATCTGCTGTGAAGATGGGATATATCGGTCCTCTCCCTTTGGTACCTCCCCCACAAAGGTGCAACATTTTTAATATTCATGAAGCCCACAAAAAGCGAAATTAAAATCCCATCCCATTTAGATTTGGCAAAACTCAATATTTCTATCAACACAAGATCAGATATAAAGACAGGTAGAGATCGGACCAATTTTTCTACCACCTCCCTCACAAAGACTCAACATTTTGAATAACCAAAACGATCATAAAATCCAAAATAAGCATCCGGTTGTCATCAAATTTCACACATGTCATTATTTTTTACTACCACAAGATCTGCTATGAAGATGGGATATATCGGAGAACTACTTCTATTACTTCCCCCACAAAGGGTTCAACATTTTGAAAAACAAAACGCTCCTAAAACGAAATAATTCTTTTCAAATTTCACATATTCAAACATTTCTGCTAACTGTTTATATGATGATAGATATGATGATAGATATCTGGCAACCCGTTTTGGTACCTCCACCACAAAGGGTCACAATTTTCAATACTGTCATAACTTGTCAAATAAATCGGCGATTCTATACAACTTGCTATATCTTAATATTTTCCTTAGCCAGAAATCTGATATGAATATGAAATTAATCGAATTGGAAAATATTGGCCAATTGCCTCCGAACCTCCCCCATAAAGGATCAACAGTGAGAATAATCATACCTCTAGGCTGGGGTATACATCTGCCGGCAAAACCGACTGATACTATTTAACTTGTTCTTATCGAAGTCATATCATGCACTATACAGCAATTTTATTTGGTACTAGAAGTACAAAAGTCCCTGTCAAATTTGTTGAAAATCGATTCAGAGTTGGATAAAGTTTCCAAATTTTGACTACTCTAAATCCACGATACGCATTTAAATAAGGTTAATAGTTGGTATGATCTAGTTCACATAAATTCCCAATATAAACTTTTTTCTTACGGGAGCTCATAGCGGTTTAGGGTACCATATACCTTTCCTTACGGTTTTTTATTTAAAATCATTTTTATAATCAAGAAATACGCTTTAATTTCCATTCTTTGTCATCTCATATCCCACTGCAACTTTCAAATCATCGATGCGTTACAATCACATTGCCGAGCACTG